TAAGACGCTCAGTTACCACCAAATGGTGGTCGCATCAAACACGTCACTCACGCCTTACGTGAGTCTCGAGTCACGAAGCAGTGGTGGTTGATCAGAACGTGGTCCTAGGTCCTACCTACTTTGCAGATTTGGATCGGGATAGACCCATGCCTACGACAGTACATGAAAGCTGCCGTTTTACGTTGAAGGAGTGCTGACTTCGATAAGCAAATTAAGCAATATTTTCCCGCTGGAAATTGCATGTCATACCCATCGAAACAAAACGAAGGATTATGTTTTCCTATCCATTTCCTTATATAATCAATGTAATGTCTCTTCGTCCATCTTGCTTATGACTGGCAATCCTGCCGTGTTGAGTTTAATAATCGACAGCGAGGAAACAGAAAGATCTGACTTTGAGCGACTACGTCCTCAGCGTGGCAAGCAACGTAAAATGACTTCATTTACCAGGCTTTGTCCACGCTTTCGAAAATTTACGCATCGTTTCGTAATCCGGTCAGAAAGGAAAGAATATTCCATGATATAATATCCGGACATCCGTTAGTCACCCAATAACTGCTAAAATTAGATCAGTAGAAAAGGGATTGAATGATCCAGAGAATCCGTCAATCCCGCAACTCGCTTAACGGCGCTGGTAAGGCTGCCAACAAGGACGGAAACCGATCTGGAACCATCAATCTCCGTTATAGCAATCCAACTAAATTGTCAGTGAATCTGCGTGAGCAATCATGTGTAAAATCTCTGCCTCACATCATCCGCTTAATGTTGCATTGCTTTTCGTACATGTTGCCATTCACATGTACATCGTACTTTTTGTCTGTTGAGGAACATGGCATGCATTATGGCTTGTAATGACTCTGTCACTAAAATCTAAATTCGAATCCTCAGTTCAGAAAGTAGGAAACTTGGTAGAATGTTTTCACTATGCCATCGCTACCAATCATTTCTTAAAACTGCTGCTATGGTAAGACTTACACTATTGAAATTTGCCTGGATTAGCAAATGTTGAAATAATCCATCTCTTTAGTATGTTACAATAACAGTTGAGAGTTGTGGCTCTCCGTCATTCAAGTTTCAGCTTCTCTACTCGTTTAGCTGGGCTTTGAGCGATTTTCACGATCAGCGTACTACTTTTCTTACTGTACAGTACTCAATACACGAAAGATCAATAACCAAAAGAAAAGAAGAATAATCACATTTTACAAATATAACCGGAACATGCAACGAAACATGCCCAAAATCAGAAGCATAATTTCAATGCATAGTAGGTTGTTATTAACCCTCAGTTACCTGGACAACTCCAACTAAGAATGTCAAAGTCAGGGCGATTTCCACAGCCACGTTAGGGTCCACGTCGACTACATTTTGGCCATCACCACAGCACCAGCGTTCGGCAGACGACAACGAATCGGTACGATTTTTCTCGATCACCACGTCAGCCTTTTCCACATGATTGATCACTGTAGCTACCATCAGACTAACTACGGCAAACGTTCCTGTTCGTTGTACAAATGCACAATCAAAACGAACAAAGACAAGGAAACATACTGACTGGATATTATAGACTATTAGTCGATTATTGTGATTTTGAAAACTACTATCGCATCGACATCGGTTTCTGAAAGCTCCTTTAGTTTGTGTGAGTATCTTCTCCAGGCATTAAAATTTGTTTTTGATTTATAAAATTAATATGTCACGTATGACAGGCCTCTTGACCCCAAATACATCACATGCTGCATACGACCAAACCCACAGCAGCCGAACTACACTGTCGAATTTGTCTTTAAATAAGCCCGTGAGATACGTTTCGAAACGTCGGTACTGGTCA